CCCTCAAGCCTAAACCCCCTAACTCCGAAAATGTTCATCTTGAAGCTCATAACTTCTCTGGTGAGCCCCAAATGACCAAGAGAAATGGACTCTTGGCTGCACTTTGCCCTAAAGCCTAAAGCCTAAACCCAATAGACCCAAAAAGGCTAAGGATCTAAAGTTGCAGTAAAGCACCACAGAGGACTGTGCAGCCTGTCTGAAGTATCGGGTTCGGGTGTAACTTGAGTCTGGGCAAGGCAGTCTGGCTCAGGGCCCCGAAATGGCTGCGCAGGGTTTATCAGAAGGTTGCTTTAGGGTTGCTGGGTCTCGGGACCCAGCATCCACCTCCTCCCCTGTTAGGAGGAAAACGGAACCCTAAACCCTAAACCCTAAACCCTATTAGGATTATCGTCGTCCTCATGATCGTCACTGCTCATCATGGTCATGGTGGAGACAGCACTGACGTCAACATACGGTTCTTTTTGGGGCCCCCATACGCCCAAGAATATTTCTTTTTCTAGTATGACTCAAAAATACACAGGAACTACAGTGAACCGGAACTACAGTGAACAAAAACAAAAGTCACATGTTAACACTGAACCCCCCCCCCCCCCCGACGAAAGCATGCTATCAGCTCCCACGAGCTCCCTACCTGGTCAGGCTTTCTTGGACGTTGTCGCAGAGCTCGTGCATCCTCGGGGCACTCATAGCGGAGCAAGTGCAGGGAGTGTGGGGATGCTTTGCTGGCTATTTCTTAAAAAAAAGACCTCAAGAAAAGACACTTGCCAAAGGAGGCATTTAAGAGAAGTGGAGTGGAGTTCAAGATCCCGAGTGGAGACAAGATGCTTGCGAGAGTTGATGATTTCAAGCTGCAACCCTGCAGGGATTAGGGTTTAGGGTTTAGGGTTTAGGGTTTAGGGACTGCATCATGCCTATTCCCTTTCCGCGCCATTAGGGCTCAAAACGGCGTAAGGGCGTATAGAACCATAGAACTCAGGCAGTATCAGGGCCTGAAGGCACTTGCAAAATCTTGCAAATCTCCTCAGCCCAGCATGGTTCCCGAACTCAAAACCCCTAAGCTTTGACCCTAAACTGCTAGACTGCTAGACCCAAGAGTAACCTAGGAAGATAAAGGGTGCCCTTTTTGGTTTCAAAGGGAGTAGAAGGGAAGCCAAACCCCAAAAAATGGGAATAAAGGCCTACTCCGCGTCCTGAACTCAGTAAGCCTGGGGCTGTCAAGCAAAACACGCATTGAAGCAGAGACCCCCCCAACTGGCAGGGTTTAGGGTTTAGGGCTTAGGGCTTAGGGTTTAGGGACGGAGCTCTCAGTCCCCTCCCGCCCCCTAAACCCTAACAAAAAACCTAAGCCCGAAACCCGATTCCTGAAACCCGAAACCTTAAACCCTAAACCGAAGGAGCCCCTGGAGGGAGACGCACAATGTTGGAGAGCTGGCGGATGCAACGAGCATGAAGCCTTACCTTTGGGGACCCACTGAACCCTACAAGGGTTTAGGGTTTGGGGTTTAGGGTTTAGGGTTTTATTAGTACAGGGTATATGACCCCAATTTTAGGGCTCAACTAGGAAACCGATAAGCCTGCCAAGCCCTGTAAAGCCTTAAGTAACCCTAAACCCTCAATCCCTGCAGAGTTTAGGGTTCAGGGTTTGGGGTTTAGGTGCTGCCCAGGGTCTGCCCCTGTAGCTGGTCAACTGCTTCAAGCTCCTTTCGCCAGGCGGCCTTCCCACCAGTCGTGCAGGCGTTCTAGTTTCGCAAGTGGGAGTTCGTATAGTAAATGGCCCCTCCTTGTAGCATACACTGGATATCTATTCTGGTCTCGTGCGGGATTTCCAGGGTAAGGTGATGGTTTACATTGTTGGGGGACCTCTTACTTTTTGTGATACCCCGAGATGTCGAAAAAGCAACATGCCCTGCAGCCTCGAAAAGGGAAGACCCTGACCACCCAGCCCAGAAACCCCGAAGACTTTCTGACTTGATCCGGAGAGGTTCGACATGTCAGCAACCCTGCAACCCCAAACCCTAAACCCTAAACCCTAAACCCTAAACCCTAAACCCTAAACTCCTGCGCAGCAGAGCTTCCAAGCTCCACCAGTCGACAAACTCGACCTCACCACCCTGCCGATGAACCGTTAACCTCACCATGCTGCGCCCATGCCAAGACCTTTGAACACATGAAGTAGGGATTACATTCCTTGTATCCCCAGAAGGACACCCAATATATACACTCACCAATTTTAAAAAGGAACCATATATACACTCACCAAAAACAGTATTATAAACCCTGCTTCATGTAAGCTTGAGGGGGTGGGGGGGGGAGGGGTTGAAGTGCGAGGAGCAAGGAACTCGTTTTTCAAGACGCTCGCCGTTCATCTTGACGCGCGCGCCGGGGAAGTCTGCAAGGATCCCAAGCCTTAGATGGATATGCAGCAAAACAGAGTGGCCATTTTCGGTAGTCACATGGGTGTTTCCGAAAATACGGGACCCCTAACCCTAAACCCTAAACCCTAAACCCAAAACCCAAAACCCAAAACCCAAAACCCTAAACCCTAAACCCTAAACCCGAACCCCTAAGCCCTAAACCCAAGTCGTAGGATCCCCATATAATTCATAAGGACCCCCATAAGGTACCCCTACTTTTGGAACCCCCGCATCGACGCGGGGCTCACAACAGCAGCACGCTTCTTGCGGGAAGTCGCACACGCGGCTTAGGGTTTAGGGTTTAGGGTTTAGGGTTTAGGGTTTAGGGTTTAGGGTTTAGGGTTTAGGGTTTAGGGTTTAGGGTTTTACCATGATCTTGGGGTTGGGGACCAAAGGCTTTCTGGTCCCTATGCCATATGGTGCCTGGAGTTCTCGTAGCCTGGGGTAGATGATTCCAATTCCAGGGCCCATTTGGTCACCAAGCAAACCTGACCCTCAACCCTAAACTCTAAGCCCTAAACCCTAAACACTAAAACCCTAATAAACCCTAAACCCTAACCCTAAACCCTTAACAAAAACATCAAGCAGACCCTCCACCAAGCCCGGCGAAAGCTTGGAATGCCTCCTGTCAGAGAGCCTCAAACCCGACAGACGCAAAGCCCTACGCCGCATACCAAAAGCCTACAAGATCAGCTCCAGGGTTTAGGGTTTAGGGTTTAGGGTTTAGGGTTTAGGGTTTAGGGTTTAGGGTTTAGGGTATTAGGGTTTAGGGTTTAGGGTTTAGGGTTTAGGGTTTAGGGTTTAGGGTTTAGGGTTTAGGGTTTAGGGTTTAGGGTTTAGGGTTTAGGGTTTAGGGTTTAGGGTTTAGGGTTTAGGGTTTAGGGTTTAGGGTTTAGGGGTTTAGGGTGTAGGGTTTAGAGTTTAGGTTTAGGGTTTAAGGGTTTAGGGTTGAGGGTTAAGGGCAGCCTCAAACCCTAAAGCCACGAGCCCCAAACCAGGGTTTGAGGGTTTAGGGTTGAGGGTTCAGCTGGTGCCCCAGGAGCAATGCCTCTGCCACGGGACGGAAGGACTCGCAGTACTTCAAGGTCATGGGCAGCCGTGGGATCTACAAGGATGGCTGGTTTGCCAGCGTGCCTTCTGGGGTTTAGGGTTTAGTTTAGGGTTTAGGGTTAGGGTTTTAAGTTTAGGGTTTAGGTTTCGGGCTTAGGGCTTAGGGTTTAGGCCTCAAACAAACAAACCCGTATTTTGTTCCTGAAGACTAGAGCTGCCAACCCTGCACCGATACGGCCCCCGCTCCCCCCAAAAAAGGTTTAGGGTTTAGGGTTTGGAGTTTAAGGCCCTCAGGCCTCCAATCCAAGCGAACTTCTACAGAGTTGCCCAGGGCTCACGGGGAAATCTTTGGCGGCCGGCAATCCGGCTTGCCTCTACTGAACCTGGAACCCTAGCAAAAATTGGAATTTCAGCTGTTTCTTAGGAATTATAGAATACAAAAAAATCAAAAACGATTTCCAAGGACCCCTAAGTTAGCTGTTTCTTGGGAATTACAGAATACCCCCAAAAACTAAACTAGGAATTACAGAATACCCCAAACAACACTCAAAAAAACGATTTCCAAGGACCCCTAAGTTGCTGCATCCGTGCGGTCGCACGAAGGATACGGATCGAACCCCAGGTCCGTGAAGAACCATCCGCGCCCCATCCTCCAGGCGCCTGTCGAAGTAGTCCTGAGGGCTTAACAAGGTTCAGGGGTTCAGGGGTCAGGGCTCGTTTTTGGGAAAGTTCTCCCCAAACCCTAAACCCTAAACCCTAAGCCCTAAACCCGAAACCCTAAACCCTGTCGGTTAGGGCTGGAAGGTGTCTGTCCAAGTAGTCCTTGCAACGCATCGGCACCGATTACCGGGCGCAAGGTCTGGGGCAGGATTCACGGGACTGCGAATCTGTCCAACACCAGGGGTTCAGGGTTAAGGGTATAGGGACTGCTAAGTTTTGAGTTTTTTTCGCCCCCGCATAGCTGGCCGAAACGGGTTTAGGGTTTAGGGTTTTAGTGTTTAGGGTTTAGGGTTTGGGGCAAACCACCCCAAACTACGCACAGCGTGGCTGAAGATATGGGACGAGCGTCCAGGAGGCCCCTGCGCTGCAGCAGGCAGAAGTACTTGTGGTACGTGCGGCACTTCCAAACCTCGGGCTCAAGGCTCAAGGTTTAGGGTTTACAGGGTCTCTAGGGTTTACAGGGTTTAGGGTTTAGGGCTCAGAGTTTATAGGGCAGGGCTCATGGGGTTAGGAATGCTCACCACCCCCACAAGCAACGAAGCCACGATTTCAAAACAAGCCGGAAAACACAATCAGCCTTTCCAGAAGCGGGATTCCTAGCTCCTAAACCTCCATATGTAGTGTTGCTACATTCGACATGATAACAGGATAAAACCGGTTCATGAACCCTAAACCCACAAACCCGAAGTGGGCTAAACCCACAAAACGTACCCTGACACCCCAAACGCTGCACCCACAGACGCTGAACCCCCATGCATGTGCTACAGGGGCGACCTTCTTGTCCATGTCCACCACCGCCTGCTGAAGGCGCGACGCCAGCTTTGCGGGATCGATGGCTTCATCCTCGTCCCTCTCCTGAAGGTGGGTTTTCTGGGATCTAAGTCGATGTGCGCACGGGGGTCTTCCAACGAAAGAAGCCCTAAACTCTACGCCCTAAACCCTACAAACCCCTAACCCCTAACCCCTAAACCCTAAACCCTAAACCCTGAACCCTCCTTCTGCCGCATCTTCTTGTTCTTCGACTTGCGCGGTGGTGGCGCGAAGTTCTGGCTCCAGCGGCTTGAAATCTCCGCCCACTCTGCCTTCAGCTTCAGCTTTTCCCACACCTTGGTAGCCCAACCATACTATAAAAAGGGTACTCCTTCTTGGGCTACTTTACCTGAGAACCTTGAACCAACAAAAAGGGGGAAAAAGGGCACCTCTGGGCTGCAAGACACTTGATGGAGGACGTCCTGGCATAGCAGCTCTTCTGAGATCCACTGGGAAACTGCTTCAACGCGCCGCAGCTCCATCATTGCATTCGCCACCAAGTCGCGCGCTCTCGCCAACACCTCGTCTTCGGTGTCGTCGAAATGCAGCATCTGCTCGAAGTCACCTTCGCCCAGGGTCAGCAAAGACTTCGAGCCAATGCCATGCTGCGCCAGTGTCGCCGTGGCAAAGTCCCGTGCTGCAGACGAAGTGGCAAACGCATCTCCGGTTTCGATCAGCGTTTCCTGAAGCAGCCTTTCCTCGTCGCACAAAGCCGGCGGGAAGGAGAACGGGAAAACGGCACTTCGCCCCAGATGTGTAACATCATCTGTCCGCAACTGTAAGTTGAGCTCGTCCGACACCTGCAGGATCTTCTCAACCATTTCAGCATCGTCCACCATGACGACGTTTGAAGACTGCGCGAATGGGAACTCGGCGTCTAAGGAGCCCAAGTTCTTGCCAATGAAGGCTACAAGTTCCATGCGCTGTGCCTTCTGGATGTACCGCTCCAACTCTGCGTCCGTTGCCAGCGGAGACCTCGCCAGCATGCTCTACCCGAATGCTACAAAACCTATATGCCCAGATTCTACGGTTCAGGTTTGGCTTTATTTGTGTAAGGGCTGCTTTGCCTAGCCCGAGGGCAACTGAAGCACCCACCTCTTGGTCAGCTGGTTCCGGTAGTTTGGAGGGCAGCCGCTTGATTGGGTGCAGGAGATGGCTATGGCCCCAGGGCTTTCCACCGACACGGACAGGTGCACGCCCTGGCAGACGTCGATAGCACCTCCTGGCTGCACCTTGGAACGAGGCACTACCGCTTACTAGCTTACGGCTTGGGGATCGTGCGTTGGATGCAATTTCTTCGGATCGCGAAGTATATATATATATATGTTAGGATCCATTGCGAGAGGGAGATATAGGTAACCTTAGCAGCAACAAAGGGCTATAGGTAAACGGAAATCACGTTGCACGGCTTGAAGTTGTAGACATCTCTACGCACCCTACACACCCTACACACCCAACACACCCTCTACACCCTGTACACCCTGTACACCCCTAAGCCCAAAACCCGCAACCCTGAACCCTAAACCGGTTTACGGCTTTGCGTTTAAGGTTTAGGGCCTAGGAGCAAGGGTTTAAGGTGTAGGGGTAAATAAAGGCTTTATTAGGGTTCAGGATCCTGTTTACAGATATGGGTCTTTGCGAGGTCTTTATAGGGTTTATCAGGTTCAGGTTTACGTTTTCCTCTTTGGAATTCTGCTTCATTTTGAGCTTTTGGTGAAAGGAGTTGCCTTAAGCCTGCCCCATAATCCCTAAACTCTAGTTAGGAACACGTCCTGCGAGATGAAAAGAAACGAAAACACTCTAGAACCTCCCTCAAACCCCTAAACCCTAAACCCTCAAAGCCCTATAAGCCCCTTTTGCATCTGCTGTCACCCTAAACCCCTAAACCCCTGAACCCCTAGAGGAAATCACGACATCGAAGTCAGGACGAAAACAGCAACTTTACAAGCTTCATCAATCCGAGGAGCCCATGGACAGATGATCCGGCGGTCCTGATAGAAAGCAACAGGAGCCGGGTACGCCAGGAAATCGCACGCATAGAGGAACCTCTCTCGGGAGGTTGCGAAACGGTGGTGCTCTGCCTCGGTTGCGGAGATGTACAGTGGGAAGTTGCATCCACATGACATGACCATTGCGCGATCACGATCAATGCGCTGAAGATGTCCTTGCTGTGGCCCCAAGATGTAGGCGATGAGCTTCTGTAGGGCCGTGAACTCACGAGCGTTGATGATGTACCGCCGGTTGCTTAGATACCAGGCCCGGCTTGCACAGAAGCGGCTCCGACCCATCAACCTGTCAGCAACGACAAATGCTGCGAGCGGGGCCTCACCGGGCATCGCCCCCTGCAGCGCTTTGCCTATAGTCCGCTTCAGGTCATCGGTGCTGCGCAGGAAGTCCGTCCAATATGGCGGGTCTACCTGTTCCCTGCCGTGCTCCCAGTGCGGCACCGCGGTCAGCGAGGTCCGGGCGAGCAGGGTGCGGGAGCTCTCCCACTTGTCCAAAGCGGCGCTCAGACTCTGCCATTCCTTCTGGCTGGGTGGGAGATGGCTCTGGCACTGGATCAGGGCCATGGCGCGAGGAGGTGCTGAAGTTGCCGAGTCCAGTCTCCAAATCCCTCTGCAACCCTGGGCCCTAAATACACCTTGCATTCTGGCTTAGAGTTTATAAGGTTTATGAGGTTTTAGGGTCTATACACTAGGGTTTTTTCTGTCATGGCGTAGGCTCAGTTTAGCTAGGCTAGCGGGGTGGAGAGTTGCTGGGTGTTGCCACTCGCAGGCTGGGGCTTCGGAGATAAAAGGCCTTAGGGTGTTGTGGTTTAGGGTTGTGGGGCTTATAGGGGTTTAGGGCCTTAGGGTTCACAGGGTTCAGGGCCTGATTAGGGTAGGGTTTATAGGGTTTAGGGTTTCGGGTTCCTCCCCACACTCCTCCAAACCCGTTCCGCACGACTGGGGCCCCAAAATGCGAGAGCATTCAAAGTGGACATGCAGAGATCCTGTTGGGAATGAGGCTTTGTGCAGCGCTTCTCGTTTTAGGTGCAGACTGTTGGAGCCTTGCAGGACATCACAGCAGTAGACACAGATGTGCATACCTACATGGGTATATCCCTTTAACTAAATGATTGATAATAATTGCTCGTCATATTATAGGTTCAGGCCTTTTGGGTTCCAAGTCTCACTGACCGGGTGCGATGCGACAAGCTTGGGTTGGGCTGAGGGCTGAGGGTTTAGGGTTTGGCTTCGGGCTACATGAAATGAATGTCTATAGGGCTTAAGTGGAGGTTCTAGGCTCGTTTGCATGTGACTACTCTTGCGCCCCTAAACCCTAAACCCTAAACCCTAAACCCTGAACCCTGAACCCTGAACCCTGAACCCTAAACCCTAAACCCTAAACCCTAAACCCTAAACCCTAAACCCTCCCTCACCCTCTGCCTGGAACTCCTCAAGTCCTTGTTCCATCTGCTGCACCTGGAATTCAACAGGCTGCACCTCATGCAGATGCAAACCCCTGCGCAGCCATCACACAACGCCCCCAACTGAAAGCTCCCATCAAAAGGTTGAGCTACGTCCGCTCTTCGGGAAGGTACATGGTCCCTTAGTATGGGCCCTGAAAAGGGGACCCCTCCAATACCCCTTATAAACCCAAAACAACCCAAGGGCCTGCACTTCAGAACCCTTTACGCCGTATCAAGGGACCACGTTACAACCCTCACGTCAACTACAAGGGGAAAGAAACCCCCAGTACTATACCCAAGTCTAGTTAAGGGACTAACCGAATTTAGGACCCTTACAACCTACTATAACCTGGGGGTGCCCCTCCTTGCACAACACCCCCCCCCCCCCCCCCCTAAATGAGTGTTCCACGATGGCAGACAGGAGTCGCCAACCCAAGCCCTAAACCCATAACAGTCTCAAGCGCTTTTGACACCAGGCCTCGATGACATCAGCCGGTAAGCCCTAAATCCTAAACCCTACACCCTAAACCGAAAACCTAAACCCTAAACTCTAAACCCGAAACCCCAAACCCTTCCTTAGGAACCCAAAACGTGCCGGTGGCGCCCTGGCCGTCGTCTTCGACACGCCTTCGCCAAGCTGGGCAACTAGCAGACCCACCTTCGGCACATGAACAGGGTTTAGGGTTTAGGGTTTAGGTTTGCTAAACCCTTTTGCACAGTTTGCTAGACCCAAGAGTAACCTATGGGTTTAAAGGGGCTGATAAGGGAACCTAAACCAAAAAACAAGGGAATAGGGGTCCGAGTGTGCCTACGCCCTTTCGCAGCAGGCTTCGAAGGGAACGCCCGGACATGTTCAGAGGTCCGCAAACCCTAAACCCTAAACCCTAAACCCTAAACCCTAAACCCTCGGCCTCCCGTATCTTTTGGTCAATGTCTTGAAACCGCGGGGACGCTGCGCTGATTGCCTGGCAAGCCCAGCACTTCGCAGCAAACCAAACGAACAGCTTCGTGAGGGTTCCCGAAGCCCTAAACCCTTTTTACTAAACCCTAAACCCTGAACCCTAAACCCCAAACCGCACCTGCTCTGAATTCAGGACGCTGCCGCGCCGGAGCCAGTCTTCAGCCACGCCTCCAGGGTGGGCCACGCAAATTGCGTCTTGCAGCACTATGGGCACTCGCGTGCAACTCATTTCAGGGTTTTCGAAATTAGGGGGTTTAGGGTTTAGGGTTTAGGGTTTAATTAGGGTTGAGAGTTTAGAGATATGAGGGTTTCCGAAATTAGGGGGTGCCTTATTGGGGTCCGTTTTATCAGGGGCTCCTACTATTTGGGGGTCAAGATTAAGGGTCCCCCCATTTTCGTCAACCCCCATTTCGCGCTAAGAGGTGCCTGCGATTTTGTGGTTCAAGTCCTTTTCCCGCTCTTCTGTTCTGGCCGCGCTGTCCACAAGCATGGCGAGTCGAGACCTCAAGCCCCAAGGCATGCGTCACTGCAAATTGTTTCATGCACAACTTTCGTTCATACTGCACGCCCTGCAACACCCTACGCCCTAAACCCTACACCCTAAACCCGTCCTGGCACGCAAACAACGTACGTCGTGGAAAATTGGGACTTGGGCTCAGGAGATTATCGGACTTAGGGTTTCTTGCAGCGAGTTCAGTTGTTTCGGGGTCATGGGTTGAAGGTTCAGGTGTTCAAGCTACAAGGAGGGGCCCCTTACTATACCGACTATAGTTAAGGGACCTATAACCTAGATAAGAAATTCTTATAACTCAATTGAGGGTCCTTATAACTCTACCTGTAACTAGAGGGGGGGGGGGGGGGCCCTCCCTTGAAAAGAAACGGTCCCAAAAGTCATATTTCTAAACCTTAAGTCCTAAACCCTAAACTCTAAACCCTAAACCGCGATAAACAAACGGGACATGGCCCAACTGAGGCTGCATCTCGATTCCTGCAAAGCGGCCCTCGGCGCGCACCTGCCACAGGTGCGCAGCGAGCCCAATAATTACCCCTGAATTAAAGTTTTTGTAGGGTTTAGGGTTTTTTCGGATTTAGGATGATTTAGGGTTTAGGGTTTTAGGTTTAGGGTTGGGATGTTCCCCCTTATACTAACAGCCCTTCATAGGGATTAGGGGCTTACATTTTCCGCCCCAAATTTGAGTCGAACTCCTAAAGGGAATGTTGCATGTATGCGTTCATTAGTTACAAGGAAATTTGGCTCATTGGGGAAATGCTAAGCTTCCTCAACTGCCTGTTCCGTCCCGGCAACATGCAGGGGTGCCTCCCATCTTTCCGTTAACCGCTCCACTTCTCGCAAGTCGCTTTGGGCCTGCAGCAGCTGGAAGAACTTTTCAAACATGCGTGTGATCCCTGGGGGCCAGATGAACTCTGCAATTGGGGTCATATCCCCTATACGACTATAACTCCTAAGAATTCGAACCCGAAACCCTTTTAGGGTTCATGTGGCCCCCCAAGTTGGAGTGCTCGGAGGTTCATGGTACTTGTTACCCAATTATCACTGCACTTATAACCATATTAGGGCACTTAAGGGGCTTGTAAGTGGGTTAGGAGTACAGTTATAAGTGGTTATTAAGTACCCTAAACCCTAAACCCTACACCCTAAACCTTAATTAAGTACCATGAACCTCCAAGTGCGCGGACATGTCAACATCTGGCACGCCCACCGACCCAATGGACATTGCAATCTGCTCTGCCAAGCGGTCGAGCTGAGGCTGCACAATCTCCTGAATAGGGTTTAGGGTTTAGGGTTTAGGGTTTAGGGTTTAGGGTTTAGGGTTTAGGGTTTAGGGTTTAGGGGGACCCTTGGGGATATAGACCCTCTGAATAAGGTCCCTGTTCAAGAGAGCCAGAAGAGGGTTAAGAAGGGTTCCCTTTTAAGGGTCCCCCTGATCCTACCTAGGACCTAGGACTGAAGCTGTGGGGTACTTCGAGCATCCTTGGGGGCCCCAATGAACCCTAAAAGGATTTATGGTTCATCTTGCCTTAAAAAGAATTGGAGCGGTGTAGGCTAAAAGGCCCCAATTTTAGGGTTCATGTGGTCCGCCGGGGTTTGAGCAATAACGATACGGACAGTCACAACATCACGATATCGGCGTGTCGGTCCTGAACGGCATGTTGGACGGAAAGACACACAGCGGCATCGCCTGCATGGCATTGAATGGCATGGTACGGTCTGGAGCCATCATGCCGCCATGTCTCGTTGCACGACTCCTGATACATGAAGCCGATGTTCCGGAATGCTAAGTTCATGACTCCAGCTTGGGTAGCCGCTGGGCGCGTGCGGCAGCAACGTCGCCTGAGCGCTTACGCTGTCTTATGAGACCGATCACCAAGCTCCAGCCGCAAAGGTTGACCCCTTGCCTTGGTTGCACAATGTTTTGCAGCACAAGCCTAGTTCATTGTTGTGATAATATTGAAATTGTATTTGTTTATTCCTTATTGGGTTTAAGTACCCTTACCAATGTAAAATGTTACCCAACTATGACAAAGAAGCCCTTCATAAGCCACAACGATATCATCGAGCGCACCCCTTCCTTCCATCAAACATCATCAATGGCAAAACCCTTGGGGACCAACTCAACCCTAAAAGGGCTTATGGTTCATATACCTTAACAGGAATTTTCGTAGCAATTATAGGGGTTTATGGCCCCGGTTTTGGGGTTCATTGGGTCCCCAGGAACCCCCTCAGAGCTCAGGCCCACGCCACCGCCACTGTGGGGGAAGCACTGACTTTTGCTGCAACGCCTTGGCAGGACGCCACGCAACTACCATGCAGCAACCTAAACGGGCTTTCGGTCACCGCCCGGCTGTTGTAGAGCATAGACCCTAAATCTAAACTTGGGCTTAAATAGTCTCGGGAGCCGATCCCCTCAACAGCCCCAAACCGCAAAAGCAAATATGCATCCACGAAACCGCTGCAGCGAAGAGAGGAATTACAGTCGTATACGGTATATGACCCCAATGTTAGGGCCCGCATTCTCTGTTGCGCTCCCGCGTTCCCCGAACCTCTCCCCAACCCGAACTGCTGGCCTGGTTTGCGAGCAGGAAAATCCAGCAGCTGGGCCTCGCGCATAGGGCTCCGTATGGAATGCTTCGTCGTGAATGTATGTGCACATAGATCCATATAAATATGAAAATAAATACATAAATAAATAAATAAATATAAATATATATATATATATAGACACATATGTATGTATATATACATACATATATGTTCACTTCTCCAAAATATGGTCCCTTTTTGGGGCCCTTGTTATAAGGCGGCCCCTCTTATCCAGCGAACCAAAAAAAGGAACGAGAAATTGGAGCACTCACCGTATATATGTGTATATATATATATATGTATATTTATTTGTTTATTTATGTATCGCGAGCCCGAAAAGACTTGTTTTGATTCGGGATAAGGGTTAGTTGGGTGGCGCTTCTGGTCAAGGGTGTTCTTAGGTGATGGTGGGCCACTGTTCTTGCAGCAGTTTTTTGTCGTCGTATATCAAGAACCAACAAGACATCTTAACCCATGCATGCGCATCCAAGAACCTGATTGGGATCCTTAGTGTAAGGGGATCCTACTATTGGGACCTTTTCAAGGGGCCCCCCATTTTCGTAAACCCCCAACTCCACTGAGGCCGCGTCAGCCGCACGGGCCGCGCTGGCACTCCCAGTGGCCGCCGTGGCAAAGCCCCGCTTACATCCAGGGATGGAAATTTTGGACCTTAGGCCCGCCATAGGAAGCAAACGATGACTAATGATTGCACTCCAACACTGTATATTTGTTGTAGTGGACAAACGACACACGCACACGCACACGCACACACAGACACACACACACACACACATACACACACGATTGGCACGAAATGCACCAGTTCAGCCCAGGCACGGGCAAGCGCTTCGACTGGCCATGTTGCATCATTGAAAACGCTGCGGCAAAGGCAAGTGAAAAAACGCTGTAATGAAAAATCGTCAGCCCACAGTCCCTACAAGGAGGGGCCCCCTGACTATACTAGATATAAGGGACCTATAACCTACTTTAGGGATCCTTGTAACCCCCTATAACTCTGCTAAAAGGGACCTATAGCCTAATTTAGGGATCCTTATAACCCAAGTTTTAGGGTCCCTGTAGCTCGGCTATACGGGACCTATAACCTAATTTAGGGATCCTTTTCACCCAAGCTAGGGTTCTTCAAACTTTATTTATAGCTAGTTCGCCCCTCCTTGTGCCATTCGTTATCGCCGTTTTCGCCGCCTCTCAGCTTCATCCCAAGTTTTGGGGGTTGGTTACTTTATCAGGGAACCTTGCACCAACAATAAACAGCGGGAGTGGCCAGCTGGTTCGGGTTCGGGCATGGATGTATGCTCCGGCCTTGTTCAACGGAAGGTCATCATGGTCCAGGGCCACCAACACGTGAGGGAGTTAAGTTGCCCTTCCGGAGCGAGTCTTGTCACTCCGGCCGATGACACTCTTTAAAAACCAGCGGGCCAGTATGAATATACGGATGTTGCTACTTATGTTCCTCCCGATTGACATTATGAGCGCCCTGACGAAGGCGGTGGGGCAGTTGACAGCTTTGGTGAACCTGAAACCCTCAACCCGTAAATTGTGCCCCCCCGCACCGGTCTGCTCTCTATAGGCGGGCAACAACCTTGGAGCGCACATGGACGCGTGTGGCTCCAGGGGCGTTGGGGGCGCACGGCCAAGTTTGCCCCGGAGCAGAAGCTCGCTTACACGACCGCCCCAACGATGGAGCGATCTCTACTCGATCTTGTGGTGTTCAAGCGATCTCTGCTCGATCTTGTGGTGTTCAAGGCGACACCCTGGCGCTGCCACGAATTTGACATGGGCTCCGATCATGGGGCAGTATACGGGTGCATTGATGCCACACCCGTCCACGACTCGACGACGTGGATGGCACCCAGATTCGCAAACGCAGAGTTTGTACAAGTATTTGTGTTTCTACAAGGTGATATGCAGCAACGAAGCTTCATCAGGCTGTTGCTGTCGGGCAAAACAATTCAGGATTTGTGCCGACTGAATGTCATTCAGGATGATGGCATGAGACGCCAGCACTCAAGGTGGAGCAACCAACCCCTGATGATTTCACAAAGTTTCTGGTGGTTTGGTTTTGGAAACGTTGTCCCGCCCTGTCATACAGCTGCATCAATGTTTGCTTGACATATACTGCAAGATGCCGGTAACGAACATATGGCACCCACGTTGCCCTTTCACACTTCGATGGTAACGTCATGAAAAGGTGCTTCAACAAAAAACACGCACAAGGTGCACAACTTATCGGTTTGTATACTATGCTGCAGGCAGACTGCGGTTTCTCAATCTTCGAAACATCACAAGTCGCCTCTGTGCGCGGTCCCATTGCTTGCGTGCGGCGGCCGGCTTCATGTGTGGGGAGTCATCTCGGGCTGGGCATCAAGCCATGGTTTGGGAACTAAATAAACCCTTTAGGGTTTAGGGTTCATATGCCTGGATGGAATTATAGTAGCAGAAGGAATATCAGTTTTAGGGTTGATCTGGTCCCCAGCCCCGGGAGGGTTTCGGGCGTTGAGGGTGGTGGGGTTAAAGGGTTGAGAGTGGTGGGTTTGCAGGGTTTAGGCTTTAAAGGGTTTCTGGGTTTTAAAAGATTTGGGTTCAGGGTTTGCAGGGCTTATGGGGTGGGTTTGTGGGGTAAATAAGATTTATAGGATCCAGGGATGTTGATGGTTGGGTTGTAGGGTTTAGGGTTGAGGGCTGATGGGTGACATGGGGTTTCCTTATTGCTAGCGTACGTTTACACATGTCCACAATTAAGAGGGAAAAAGCTTGAGGGAACCGAATAGCCCTAGCACATGTCGCAATGCATCAGGCGAGAATGACGCCGGGGTCTGTGCAAGACAGACCTTAAGGACCAAATGAACCCTAACAGTGAGGTCACATATACCCTATACTAGCATAATTCCACGTAAGGTATATGAACCATAGACCCTTTTAGAGTGCATTCGGTCCCCAAGGGAATCGTGGCTTGTGATGGTGGCGCCAATGGCGCAAGCAATGTCTCGCACCTAGAGGTGCAAAAACCGATCAAAACTGCGGATCCTGACGAGGACCCGGAGAACTTCGGAGTCAAGAAATTCAAGGTTTAGGGTTTAGGGTTTATGCACCGCAGGGGCGCTTTTGCCACCGAAGCTGTCCCGATAAGATAGTCTACATCGAAATGGCCGAAGGATCCAAGATTTCAAAACAGCTTGGAGTTTAAAGTTCCGGGTCACTTCTTCGAGATCTTGACGCGGCAGCCATCCTTGTAAACGACGTTGACCTTGCAGAAGCGGCAAAAAGACAGACGAGCATTTGGGAGCACTCTCACAGTTTGGCCAGAGTTGGGCCAAAGAACCCAAAAGAGGCCGACAGAACTGGACTGGATACTTTGGGTTTGTATCCCATTGTATTCTACATATATAGAGGGTCTAGGGGATGAAACGATTGACAACTATGCAAGCTCCGATGCTAACATCCCCAATCCTGTAAGCGTGTCTTGTCAATGGTGATGGCCCTATGCAAGCGGCCGCTAGGCTAGGCTGGTGTAAGGGTTACTCCCTAAAGCCTAAACCCTAAACCCTAAAGCCTAAACCCTAAACCCTAAACTTTATCTTGAAAGGCGAGCGGCTGGATTGCTCGGATCCACGACCTCAGTCGTGTCGAGCACCTCACAGGGGCATTCGGCATTTGCGGCCGAATTCGAGATGCCCACCCGTATCACGCAGTTTTATCGCCGCCTTGCTTTCAGTTCGTATGTTCTTACAGGCCCACAAAACCACAGAAACGTAAGGATCCTACAAACAAGGTTTTTCAGAATTTCCCTTATAGGGGCCCTTATACCCCAATCGTAGGATCCCGATGGTTTTTTTGGAGCCCCTCGTTCTGGCACAGTTGAGCCACGCCTTGCCTTCCCTGATCTGTAGAGCCTCTACGTCTCGCTGCTAACTACTGTAAATTGTAAGCAGTACAAATTTGATCTTAATATCTACGTGCATATGTAAATAAATAGAAATAAACAAATATATATATATATATGTATGCATGTGTGTATCTCGACAAACAAGCAGATAAATGAACAAATCAATCTTACATATATATATATACACACATATTCCTAGCCTCGAAGTCATAGTCGCGACAGAGGATGCGCGCGAAGAGCTGCAACTCGACCAGCGCCAGGTGTTTCCCGATGCACTCATGGGGCTGATGACCACCGAACACGAGGAAGCGGTCCTTAGATTCATTGCAGCGTTTAGGGTTCAGGGTTTAGGAATATGTCAAAGTGTATTCACAGGCTCTTTAGTTCTCTGTTATATCTATTTAGTCATTTGCATCGTAAACCTCCTCTGACTGCATGCCCGTAAACCTCAACTTCTGCAACCGCGACGCGAGACACTGCATTCAACATGCGTGAAGGAGCCAGGACACACCCTAAACCCTAAACCCTGCATTCCTGGTCCGAAGACCCGTTAGCTACTCCGCCTCCCGCCACAGATATGAACACAAGAACCAACATACTCCCACACACGCTTTTGCTACTCAAGCTTACTGTTGGTTCGCAGGGAATGGGGGAATGAGGTACCCTATATAACTCCTTAAAGGGTATATATAGGGCCCTAATTCCCTCATTCCCTGCTAACCAACCGTACGCAATAACATCACCCTGTACAGCAACCCTCAGCCTAAAGCCAAAGACACTTGACCAAAACCCCTTAAGTTTAGGGAGTTTAGGGTTTGGGTTTAGGCCCCTAGCGAGAACGAAGGCCTGGAGCCTTAGCTTTGGGTTACCCTGAACCCTAAACCCTAAACCCTAGACCCTAAACCCTAAATAGGGCGGCTCGGATTCAAGGCTTAGAACCTTCATGCTCAGGCTTTCCGGGCCTTGCAAGCAACGGGTTTAGGGTCTAGGGTTTAGGGTTTAGGGTTTGGGGTTTAGGGTTTAGCGTGCTACGCTGCTTTGTTATTAGGCTATTATGGCTACAGTATATTGCTATATGATGTTATTGCTATAGGCGGAATTATTTGGCAACAACGGTGGCAAGGTCCGCCGCTGAGTTCCGGATGAGGACAATAGACTCTATAGAGGAGCCTCCGTCGTCTCGATAGATCAATGGCGTTCAAGCAGCTATGAATTATTAGGCTACTAAAAGAGTGCAGCTTCTTCTTGGCCGAGCTTCTTTATCCAGCGTCAACCACCGATCCGGATCGAATGTATCACCCAGCTCCTGCAGAGTTACCGCTACAACGTGCTTTCGCTTGAAGCTCCTGCAGCACTGGGCAAGAGCCACGGTTTAGGGTTTAGGGTTTAGGGTGTTTGAAAAAGCTATACTACCCAAGCCAGGGTGTCTTCAAGAGACGTGGAGCGTTGTGCTCGTGCCGTGGAACTGGTCGCAGTGAGTGTTTTCTACTGAGGCCCGGAAAGAACCCCTCACCTGATCCCAAAGCAAATGCAAGCGAAACCTCTCGCATGCCATTCCCTAAACCCTAAACCCTTCACCCTAAACCCTAAACCCTAAACCCAAGAACCCTAAACCCTAACTAGCCATTCCTTGACCCCAAAACATTTCTCCTTCAGCAACGGTGAGAAGAGGATGGCCATGGGGCATCCCATCGGCACTACCCCGTGCTCACCCAAGTCGGTGTCCTTCTCAAGTTCTTTGGGGGTCAAGGTTTTGGTTTAGGGTTTAGGGTTTAGGGTTTAGGGTTTCCCGATGCCTTGGCCACAATTTCCTGGAGCTCGAGGTTTGAGCGTTTAGAGCCACACTGGCCACACTGGGAGCCCATCCTGGTCTACATACCCTAAACCCTGAACCCTCTAAACTACCCCGCTAAACCCTAAACCTTAAACCTTGACCAAAGCCCCATGTCGATCCTTCTGGAAGCTCACACGCCGGAAGGCTCCAACGGGTGGCTTGAAGCGCAGCGACTCGCGCACGACGCGCAGAGTCACCGAGTCCTCCTGCGACTTGGGAAGGCTTTGTGGGAAGTTTAGGGTTTAGGGTTTAGGGTTTAGGGTTTAGGGTTTAGGGTTTAGGGTTTAGGGGGTTCCCTTCACTGTGTCTGAAACAATCTTACAGATTATATGTGCAGGGATCGGCAGCGCAGTCCCCCTTGTTTTGACATCCATGGCTCTGTGCAGTCTTGCCGTGCGTCTGTCACAGCACATGTGGCTATGCAGTTGCTTTGAGAACACTAGCCTGAGACTCTCTATTCCTACAGATGTATGGGTCATACCTACTATAAGTAATTAAGGGGTAGTTTCTATACTACACTGTAGGCAAATAGAGCCCCAGGAGCCAAGTCACGGATCGGACAACTGGTGAAGGAAGAGCACGTCCTGAGATCATAATTACGAATTACGCTGCAGCTCACAGCAGCAAGCTAGCTGCAAGGACCAGGGCCGGTGCTCCACGACGAACCACCGCCGCCGAGGTCGAAGCGATAGCTGATGCTGTGGTCCTAGGATAGCCCCCTTAAAACCCTCGGAAACATATTTCCTGAATCTGATCCTCTTGAACCCAACAAGAAAAAACACTTTCCTGAATCTGATCCTCTTCAACCCAACAAGAAAGATGAAAATACTCCCTTAAGGGTCTACCTAGGGTCGTGGTCGTGGTGGTAGTCGTCGCATTGGCGTCGATCGTTGTGCTGGTGGCATTTGCGTCCAGGCTGACCATCACCTCCGAAGCAGTCCACATCTCATCGATGTATCCCCCGGCACCGCAGAGTGCCCGGAAAGTAACGTCCCCCGATGTCGGGGCCGTCCAGTCGTGAACCATAGACGTGGCTTTTCCCGTGCCGTCGGACACCATGCCGCTGCCGAAGGTGCCTCCGTTGGCCGTTGGACACCAGCTTCTGTCCCAGCGCGGTAACCGAAGTCACTGTGACCGCGTACGAGCCTCCAGCCATGTAGCCACCACTCGGAACGTTGGTGGTGATCATGCACGTGTCACCCGTTGTGTTTCCTATGGTGGCGATGCCCATGGGTCCGAAGCTGCTGCCAGGCGTATATTGGCCCATACACGCAAAGTCACACGTCATTGAGGCGGGATACGCAGCTGCCTGGGTCAGCAGGCAAACCAATCCTCCGAGCTGCGAGAAAGCCATGGTAGCAAACACCTGTTCAAGCTTTAGAGAGCCACCGCCTACGGTGGTCCGAGCAAGGCAGCTTGAGCCGTAGACCCCGAAATAATTACCTCATTCATTGGAAACCTGGGACTCCTGAACCCTAACCATGTACCAACATAGTATATACTACTTTATAAGAACCCCTCGAAGGTCCAAGTATGTACTTTCTAGGCACACGGACCCTGTGAGGCCCCCAAACCCTAAACCCTAAACCCGAAACCCTAAACCCTAAACCCTATAAACCTTAAGCCTCGCACACCAGGGGTCCTCGGGGCTCTTCATCTCAAGGTTCTCTGCCGCGACGCGCTGATTCCAGCTCGTGTTCTGGTACAGCCTCATGGTTCAGCTTCTGGCAAACTATTACAAAATATGTATACACAAACAGATACACACACATATATATGTATATGTATATATATATATGTATATATAGATGTACATATACATATACAGAACACGTCGCACATATTTTATATCTCGTATATACATCTGGTAATATGTACGAATGCATAGCATCATACAGGTAAATTGTATATATGACTGGGCCTCAGATGTCTCGGGTTTGATGAGGTGAAAGCCTGCACATGCTGTGCCAGGAGTGGGTGTCAATATGCTTCCATCCCTAGAACCCTAAACCCTAAACCCTAAACCCTAAACCCTAAACCCTAAACCCTAAACCCTAAAAGCCATGAACCCGGAGGTTCCATCCCTAGACCCTAAACCCTAAACCCTAAAAGCCGTGAACCCTGAGGACTCAACGGCGAGCCCTGAGCCCGCCAAAACTGCGGGTGGTGGCCCAAAGCTCCAAAACGCAAATCCTGCGGAGCGACTCTTTGGACTTCGTGCGGTTTAGGGTTTAGGGTTTAGGGTTTAGGGTTTAGGGTTTAGGGTTTAGGGTTTAGGGTTTAGGGTTTAGGGTTTAGGGTTTAGGGTTTAGGGGCTGTCTGTGCAGAGTGGCTGCACCAGCAAGCACGGCAAGGCGTCCGCAGTGGTGAGCTTCCCGGCGATGAGGAGGGTGAAGACCGTGTCTGAAATCTCCTCTGGGAATGCGGGTGTTTATTGCTATCCGGCATTCGAAGCCACCGGTGTCAAGAAGACAACTTCTCTGCACGGGCTCTACCCGAGACGCTATTTACTTTCAGTTCGTAGTAACTACCCCTTGCTATTCGTAGGGATAACCCATAAAACTGTAGGTTAGGAGACACAGGTAGCCCTAAACCCTAAACCTTATTGGTAGGTATTAATCCAGGTACAAATCTCTCCAGCAGCAGTTGTGTGCACATGCCCTGGCACTCGCAGCCTCAATTTCCCAAATGAGGGTCTACGACATGAAGGGACCCCACATATAGACCCCCCCCCCCCCCGAATAGTAGGGTTTAGGGTTTAGGGTGAATCCCCTCATAATAAGGACCCCTGTAAGGTACCCCCCTAATGTCGTAAACCCCCAAATGCAACTCACGGAGGCAGCCGCCAAACCCTAGACCCTAAACCCTACACCCTAAACCCTAAACCCTAAACCCTCACCCTAAACCCCAAACCCTAAACCCAGCCGTCCTCCTCTGTGAAGCCTTTGCCATCTTCAGAATCTTTCATGAGATCAGCGATGATGTTCTGCCGATGCTTCTTCGGCTGGGCCATGATCTGAGCCGTTTTGAAACCAACTCAGGGTTTAGGGTTTAGGGTTTAGGGTTTAGGGTTTAGGGTTGAGGGCGAAACCTTGACGTCTGAGGCCCGACGTGTGCTCTCTTGCCTTGAAGGGTGTGCTTTGCAAGCTTGATGCGCAAGGTGTCTGGCTCAAGAATACGCAAAGGCTCAACCAACCATTCACACATGCCTGCTGAGCTCGCCGGCCATGCACACAGCGTCGAAAAGTTCTCCGGAAAGCGCTCGGCGCTTCGACTTTGCGGGGCCCTGGTGACCTCTTGACTTGGGCTGCCGTGGACCCTTTTTGTTACTTTTGTTGGCCTTCCTCTTCGGCAAGGCGCCCAAGGGCTTTGCAGCGCGGATTTTTCAAGAACGTCGGGACATTGCGGGCTTTTGGGACTCCTGGTTGCTTTCCATGAACTTTGCATTGTCCACCTCCTGGCTTCTCGACTCCTCACGCGCTTTCGCCGCCAACCCCTTTTTGCCGGAACCCTAAACCCTAAACCCTAAACCCTAAACCCTAAACCCTAAACCCTAAACCCTACACCCTACACCCTACACCCTAATTTCGCGAACCCCCGACCCCCGGGGCTTGGCGGCTCAGAGTCTGGCAGGCACAACGTTGAGACGGTCTTGCCGGTGCCGAAGAGAAGTCTTTTGAGTTTCAGGGGTCCAAAAGGGGTTCTGTACTGTGAGTCGTACCCAAAGAGCCCAATACATCAACTTATAGAGGGATCCTTATTCTGATCTAAGGCATATTCCTTAATCAAGGGTATTGGCTGGTGCTTCGTTTGCACAACTCTTGGGCCTGATGTGAACTGAGGGCACACTCCCGACTCGAAGCACCTAACCTCTCAACACATCCTCTGGCCTGTGACCTGAACCTTGGGGGCCCTCATGTAGAGTCTAGGGTTTATGGTTTAGGGTTCACCCGAAAATTGGGACCATATACGCTGTACTCTATGTAATACTCCCTATCAGGGTATACGAACAGAAACCCTTTTTAGGGTTCATGTGGTCCTGAAGGAACCGAAACCCGCAAATCAGCACCGAGCCACCTTCGAGATCATCTGACAGACTTTCCTCCTCGCGATCAGCGCTCGCCCGTGCGCGGAGAACCGTCCCAGGTCGAGCGGAGGGGCCAGCAGACCTTGTCGGAGCTCGTTTCTTCTGCTTGCTTGTGGCATGGCTTGGACTTTCGCTCTGCTGCACCGTTTTTTCTTCTGCTATCGCCATGGGGCGGACACGGCACCAATGCCACGAGGATGATCTTGTGTCGGATGGCTTTGGCATAGGGTCTACAGAACATCCCTCCGCTTCAGGGCTGTTTAGGGTTCAGGGTTTAGGGTGTACCCTGCAAGGAGGGGCCCCCTAGTTATAAGTAGAGTTATAAGGCCCCTAAATTGGGTTATAAGGATCCTAAATTAGGTTCTAAATCCCTTAACTATAGATAGTATAGTAAGGGGGCCCCTCCTTGTAAGGACTTTTTGAACCAGTTTGAACCTGGAACCCGAAATCTCTGCAACTCACAAAGGGAAAAATCAGTCATGCGACAACCACTGAGATCGAAGCACAGTGCAGGCCTGCGGCATTCCTTCTCAGAAGTAGCAACGATCATAATGATAGTAATGATAATATTTTAATGATCATACGGCTGATTAGGAGAATAAAGAGACTGATGACACTGATGATCCCTAAACCCTGAACCCTATATAACCGCCCTAAACCCCTAAACCCAAAAACCCCTAAATCCCTCAACCCTAAACCCTAAACCCTAAAACCCCTAAATCCCTAAACCCTAAACCCTCACCCCTCAACCTTAAGGATGGTTGAAAACAACGATTCTATCTCATGCTCCCGCGAAGTGACCCGTCATCACGTCGTTGAGGAGCACCTCGAAGGACCGCTGCTCAGCCTCCTGGAACGGGCTGAACTTTCGGTTTGTTTGGGGTCCAGGGCTTTTAGTCTGGAAGGGCTGAGCTTTCGGTTCAAGGCAGGTTTGGGGTTTAGGGCTAATTTTAGTTGTTTTTTGTGTTTGGGGGGGGGGGGGGGGGGGGGGGGGGGTTCGGGGTTTCTCTTTACCCACCCGTGTCGCAAGCGTTTACGGGGGTTCGGGGGGTTTAGGGTTTATAGGTTTAGGGTTTAAGGCTTAGGCTCCAGCAGAAACTTTTCCCTTGATGTGGAAAAGGGATCCGTGCGCGCATGCGCACGGCTTGTGGAGAACATGTGCCTGGAACCTGGACAGGGCTGAGGTCTCTTGCATAAGTCTGAAGAGTGAGCCCTGTAAGGCTCCAAATAGCCCAGAAACCTTAGCATGATCTTCGGGCCCAATAGCCTTAAGAGCTCACTGGCAATAAGGGACCACAACTTTGGTTTACGGCCTAGGAGTTTGGGCTTATGGTTTATGGTAGCTCCCCAAGAGGCAAAAAAAACCCCAAAGGTAAAAGGTGCCATGACGCGCTTCCGCCTCCAGGCCAGCAGCAATCGGCAGCACTGATGCGCGGGCCGCCAGCTCCTGGAAATCAAGGTTTGGGGAGACCTCAGTGTTCCGGAGCCCTAAGCCTCAAATAAGGGCTTTAGTTGTTTAACCCTAAACCCTAAACCCTAAACCCTAAACCCTAAAGCCTAAACCTGGTTATTAGGGTGTAGGGGTTATAGGGGATACCCTTCTAACCCCCAAGACGTGGAGAGGTTGCAAGGTTCTTGCGTTGAAGCTCTACCTCGCGTGCCTTAGGAGCCCCAAAGCTGCCAAGGGTTTAGGGTTTAGGGTTTAGGGTTTAGGGTTTTTTGGCACCCGACTAGCCACAGCAATGGTAAATTCAGCCATGTGTGGTATCAAGTCGGATGATTTGTCATTAGATATAGGATGTGGGCACGCCTGTGGCCAATAGGTCAGACTGTGCAACTACATCCGACTTGCACCGGCATGTCAAAGGGGGTGGCGCTACTGATCGTTCCGATCTAAGTCTTGGTGCGTTTTCCACGAAGGCCTAGTTAGTGCCGAAGCCTACTACAACAATGCCCACGAATAGCAAAAGCCCGCGGCTTACGCCATGTCACCAAGACTTAGGGAGTCTGGCGGACATGCCAGTGAGGGCATGCAGCGAATTACGAATTAAAGGAGTTCTGTATGACTAATTACGAATTAAGGGAGCTCGGTATTACGAATTGGCACGAGAAGTGTACATCTCAATGCCATCCCGCCCGTCTAGCCTCCCCCTACCAATGGGTGCCCACTCCACTGGTAAGGATCATCAGCCAATTACTAATTACGTGCATGCGGGAAAGAAGCACCTAATTACGAGATGGTTAGAAGTGACAATGACGGTCCTGGGCGACTTGCAAACTGGGGTAAAATTGATAAAGTTGGGGGGATCGTTAAGCCCCGAGCGTCGACTGAGACTCCCTTGCCCCAACAGAGCCAAGCGCGGACTTCTGCAAACCTACACCCCCGCTAGTTCAAGAAGGAGAATAACCTCGCGACCGCAACGAGTGCCGGCGCCCAGCAAGCGCGATCTTACGCACGGAAGAAGCCGCGACTCAAAAACTTCGAGGAGCTCACACCGCGAAGGGAGCTCATGCACAAAAGCGCGAGTCGCGTCCGCTGAGCAATCAAGCAGCGCACGCCAAACATCAGCGCGCGGTAAGCGGTTCTCCTCGAAGCGAACGACTTCGTCGTAATGGTGGTTGATCTCCTCTCCATTCACGAACGTCCTGCGAAACTCAAAGACGTTGGCGTCGCGATCGGAATCGTACTCGTCGAAAGACCATTCGTCGTAAGTTCGCAGGGTCACGTCATTCGGAACCTCGGGGCATGGAAAGGCGAACATAGTATCAGAAAGCAACCCGAGGTCCGCCAACATTCGCGCTTGACTCCTACTTCAACGCAAAGGCGAAGTCTTCTTCTCCAACAACTTGGGGAAGCCACACGACGCAATCTCTCAGGAGTGGTGACGTGATTCTCGCGGGAATCCACAAATTGTCACTCAACTCGACTTGGCGCTGAAAAGCAACGTACTTGGCGAACGCCAGCGGTTTCCACTCACCAGCGCGGTCGTGATAGTACCGCACGAGATCGCGCTCTGCCTCACATGCCTCATGGTAATCTTCCTCAACAGACCTCAGGAGGTTGGAGAACTCACGAGAAAAAGAGTAAGGCTCATGGCGCGTCTCTTCCACTCACGGCTGGAACCCCGCGCACCGGGGCGCTCGCGCTCATCGACATCGTGGAAATCCATGACTTAAGACGATCCCCTCCTAGGTTCACGGTTTAGGGTTTAGGGTTTAGGGTTTAGGGTTTAGGGTTTAGGGTTTAGGGTTTGGGGTTTAGGGTTTAGGGTTGAGGGTTGAGTTACTAATAATGCTGATCATGATGATCGTGATCACAGTACTCAGAATAAATACATACTAATCAAACACCAACTTCAAAGCAGTAGCAAGGCCAAGGCACACTTGCAGCTCGTTGAAATTCGGCGTAGCCTTGGCCTTTGCGGGAGAGTTTGGGTTTGGGGTTTAGGGTTTTAGGGTTTCCGGATTAGGGTTTTAGGGTTTAGGGTTTAAGGTGTTCAAGCTCTGCTCAAAGTATGCTCAAGGAGGGCCAGAGCCCTGTGCTTGAGGCTTGGGTGATAAAAACGCAATGGCTGCCACTACTGATAGCTACAGTCATCATCTCTCCCGTAAGATGCTCTCAAGAGTTAGCATACCATTTCTGATCCGCCTACCCACTCACACACCGCACAGACGTGCCTTGGAGCTGACCCTGACGAGGCTTGCAAGAACTGCAGGATCACTAAATGCACTGGTGCGCAGGAAGAGCTACACCTCTTGCAAGCCGCATGCAGGGCAAGACAGGAATTAAGGAATCAAACAAGCCCTTGAGCCCGGAGCGGTGCGTCTTAGGGTTTAGGGTTTAGGGTTGCGGCTTCGAGGCCCTTTTGGGGCTCAGATTTGGGTTTTTGAGGCTTTGGGTCTTGGACTTTGGATTTCGGAAGCTCGTGCCCCAAAACGCTTCCACTCGCCGGTGCAAATGCCGGCCTTTGGGAGTCCTTTACAAGGAGGGCTCCCCTAGTTATAAGTAGAGTTATAAGGACCCTAAATTCGGTTATAAGGATCCTAAATTAAGTTATAAGTCCCTTAGCTACAGTTAGTATGGTAAGGGGGCCCCTCCTTGTAACGTCGTTCGGATCCCTACACTCTACTTCCCCTACAACCTCTATAAATTCCTTGAAACAAGTTACATGAGCATCACTCTGCCAGCATAGACACCAGACAGCGCTAATAAGCCACTTCGAGAGTCTAAACCGCACTTCACGCGGAGCGTGCGCACGTTGTGAGGCCCGAAGACCAACTCTGTTTTGGGTATGCTGGTCCTCCAAACTCTAAGTAGGGTTTAGGGGATTTAACGGTTAGGGCTCTTACTCGCCATTCAGAACTCTTGGAACTCTTGCCTCGGGATATCCAAGTGGATGCGTAGTATAGTAAGGAGGCCCCTCCTTGTAGGACCTTGTTACTCATTTAGGAGCCTTCATCAGCTTACTCATGTGCGCTTCGACTGGCCTTACGCACGCCCTTCTGTTAAAGAGTCAGCAACCCACGGCTGCCCAGTTGCGCTCCGTGTCCTTCACCATTCCATCCAATGTTAGGCGCACCTGCTGCCCGAAAAGGTGCACGGCCGGATGCTTGTAGGCTTCATGTTCTAAAGGCTGGCAATTTCCCAAAAAATAGTAGACCCCCCCCCCCCCTTTCTACAAACCCTAAACCCTAAACCCTATAAACCCTACACCCTAAACCCCCCAAGAATGATGCACACTCCCAGGCGCCAATGCAGCGATCTCCGGGATGAGGCTCAGGACCTAAGAGGCAGGGCCAGCACTGGAAAGAAAATTGGTTTGGGGGTTTGGGGTTTAGGGGTTTAGGGTTTAGGGTTTAGGGTTTAGGGTGTAGGGTTTAGGGCACAGCGCTGGAAAGAAAATTCTGGGTCTGGTTTAGGCCTTTTGCCACCTGCCTAGCAGCCGCGCAACCACACTGCAGGGATGCAAACGTCCGTCAGTCATGAGATGAGTTGGAGGTTTGGGGTTTGGGGTTTGGGGTTTAGGGTTTAGGGTTTGGGGTTTCGGGTTTCCGATTCACCGTCGGCCTCTGGTCGTCTCGAACAGCCTGAATATTGTTGTATTTAGGAGGTTGAAACCTATCATATTATTGACGCTCATCTTTAAAACCTTCTATAATAAAACAGCATCAACATTTGTACAATACAACACAACATATCATACAATGTATCATTACCATAGTGAAACACATTGAGGTTTAGGGTTTAGGGTTTAGGGTTTAGGGTTTAGGGTTTAGGGTTTTTCATTCTTTGCAGTGACAGCTCCTTGAGCCAAGGCACATATTGCGGGCCAAGGCTTGCGAGCAGTTTGCCCCGAAGCCGCTTGTGCTTCGGGTGGCCTTTGCCTCGCGTAACCCGGGCCCGTGGGCTGAGATTACAAGGGGCGTTTATGGGGGTTCATAATTAGGGTCTTTGGGCTGAGATTATAAGGGGCTTTTTTGGGGGGTTCGTAATTAGGGTCTTGGGATGCTTTTGTTCTTGTTTTTGTCTTTTTTTAACCTTTTGTTTAAGGGCCTTGTGCTTTTCGGGGCATTGGGTCTTAGGGTCGTTGGGGTCTTAACGTGGTTTTAAGGGTTGTGGAGTTTAGGGCTTGGGCTTGGGCGCGGAGTACACACTCGCTTGTTTTCATTAGCAGACTTGTTGGAGCTCCAGGGTTCCGCCTGATTCCGGAGTTTCTGATTCTAGCGTGCCCGTATGGAAGAACAGAGAAGCACGCCGAAGGCCCCAAACCCTAAACCCTAAACCCTAAACCCTAAACCCTAAACCCTAAACCCTAAACCCTAAACGCTAAACGCTAAACGCTAAACCCTAAACCCTAAACCCTAAACCCTAAACCCTAAACCCTAAACCCTAAACCCTAAACCCTAAACCCTAAACTCCACTCAAGTCCACTATCTTCATCCTGGATGCCACCCGGTAGATTGATGACGCTGTTCTCACCGATCATCCTGATCGCAGAGCCGCAGTGGGCGGGGCGTTCAGGTCGAAGCCTTCATTAAAGGGTACCTTATCCTTATTGGGGTCCTGGAAATAATAAGGGAACCCTGCTATTTAGGGGACTCTTTTCGAGAATAATGAGGGACTCCTACTATTTGCCCTGCGAATTAGTACTTCTGCAATAAAATAGGGATTGCCTTTCGGCCTCCAACTATGAGCCTGCCGGGTTGGAGATTGCTAAGTCGTTTCAAGGCACAACTCATAAACCCTAAGCCCTAAACCGTAAACCCTAAACCCTAAGCACCAAACTGAAAGATTCGAAAAAGTGCGCCTTGAGGAGCCTTCGTGATATTCAGAGATGCGTCTAAGGCAGCACTTAGAGGGGGATGGTTTTTCCGAGTAACAGGCGCGCAGTAACTTCACGTAGCCGAATAAAGTCTCCTTGCTGTCCCTACTCTTTCATGCCATCCACTTGGCTGCTCAACACATCTGACCTGCAGCAGTTGAAGTCTACTAGTAACATATGAAAAGCAGATTCCGTGGGGCTTGTTGCTTATGCCACCCACAGACTCGAAGTTCAAAATGCCAAGAACTTGCCAGAATTTGATCGCTTACTGGCCATATCACACCTTCTCGTGCCACAAAGATGTTTTGGAAGCTCGCCTATCACTACTAACTTCTAGTAGCATTAAAAATTCATGAGTTACTCCTCTTCTCGGCCTAAGTTAGGGCTCGAATTGACTGGAACGGGTCTGTTGGCTAAGGAGGTCATATACGCGATACCATACAGGGAGTAAAGGGACAATAGCGTAGGCAACGACCCTGTTCACCACAAACCCGACGTCCTACCAGACTCTTTGGTGGTGGTCCGATTAAAAGAAGCCGAAAATGTCTTTGGGCTAAAGTTACGTAGGGTTAATATTAGGGGTTCTATAGGGTCATTTTGGGGGGTGAGGGGCGTATAATGCATAGGCTCCTGAAGTGCATCCATGAGTGTCTTAGGCTCATGACTTGCCTTTCGAAGCTGCGCGGGAAGAGGGGGCACAGCTCACCATTGAGCTCGGAGCGATGTATGTGCCTTACGGCTCTAGGCCCAAAAAGCAGTTGAGGAATGAAAAGCATGCCCTTGTTTGGCTTCAAGTGGCGTGTAAGGGAGGACTAAGGGCGCACTCTGCGTCCTAGAGTTGCAGACTAGGGCTGCAAGCTCCTGCCAATTCTGAGGATCTCAAGATGCGTAGCTAGGGGCAGCTCCTGCAAAACCCCACAACATGGTTCCACACTGCTTTCCAAACCCCAAACCGTAAACCCTAAAACCAACAGCTCTCCGAGCTTGCTTTGGCGTAATAACAGAGAAAGGTTAGGCTTTCGGGTCTAGGGGGTTTTTTGCCGCCCACCTAGCTGAACAGCACATCCACATTGCTTAGGGTTTAGGGTGCTCGGCCCTAATCGAGGAAAGGAAGGAGCCGGGCTGGACAAGACGCTTCATGTACTGCTCGTGGCGGATGATGACTGCCGGGGTGAAGAAGTAGTGCGACAGGAGGGTCTGCTTGCCCTCCAGGGAACAGCAACGTCTCCGACATGTCCCACTTTCTGTGAGCTTTCAGGCTCCGAACCCGAAGCCGGGAATGCCTAAACCCTAAAGCCTATACACACCCTATACACCCTAAACCCCAAACCCTAAGCCCGAAAACCCTATCCCCTCAGCCCTAAACCCGAAACCCAGATTCTGAATGGGTCTTTGTCCACGTTGTAACACCCGTAGGTATCGTGACATGCCGAGATTCTTGACCAAGCTGAAACCCTGAACCACAAACCATAAACTCCAAGCCCTAGACAACCCACACAAGCCCTATCACAGGACCCAACTTCCGTACCCTGAATGGCAACCCACCCTGGTGGTGCCTGCGGAACTCAAGCTCTCAAGGATCCCCAGCCTCAAGCCATTGATATCCTTGCCAATTCCTAGTAGGTTTAGGGTTTAGGGTTTAGGGTTTAGGGTCTAGGGTTTAGGGTTTAGGGTTCAGGGTTCAGGGCTCAGGGTTTAGGGTACCCCACAGAATCCTGCAAGGATTGAATATAGGGGATCAAAAGTGGCTAACTCCCTTATTCCCAACTCAGAACCCGCCAGCAAACTCTGCCGAGGGTCCCTGGTGGTTGCCCGTGCGCAGCTCAGGGACCCCGAACCCCGGACTCCCCTTAAGGGGTCTTCTCCGGCCCATCCTCCTAAAAACACTCCAGAAACTGTTCTTACTTACATAAGATCGTCTGGAACCCAGTGAAAGGGAAAACCTAAAAAATCACAAGGTCCTACCAGCTGCTGATGTTTAGGCTTAGGTTTAGGGGCTGTTGGGTTTGGGGGCGGGCCCACCTCCATGACATGCAAGGCCCATCCTTGCCGGGGCAACACGTGCTGTGAGCTATGAGGGTTCTTGGGGTCATTCGGGCATATTCGGGCGACTGGGGTCACCAAGCTTGCTGGGGGCAGGCGGAACAAAGCAACAAACGGACATATGGTTCCAAAACGGCCGCCCACTTTCGAGAAAAGTGCCAAAAAGGATTCTCTGCTTGGCCGAGTCGATGTGAGTTCTGGGCTCCGAACCCGAAGCGCACGACGCTCGCCGAAAGCAACAAACACTTCGATCGCTCAGAAACCAGCTTGGGTGCCTCTTACCTATCCCCCGTCCTACCCCTGAAGGACACACGCGTACCCTAAACCCTAAACCCCAAACCCCAAACCCCTAAACCCCTAAACCCTTAAACCCCTAAACCCTAAACGCTAACCCCCTAAACCCTAAACCCTAAACCCTAAACTCTAAACCCTAAACCCTAAACCCGAAACCGTCACTGATGAAGACAAAACTCTTTCCAAGCCCATCTTGAGGATGCCGAAGGTGTGTCCCAACAAGGGCACTCCCAGATCATGAGGAGGGAGCCGCCTGTGCCGAAGGCGTCAGAACATGAGTCCTAAATCCTAAACCCTTTTGAATCCGGACTTGATGACTGCCAGACGAGCCAGACCCTAAACCCTAAACCCTAAACCCGAAACCCTAAACCCTAAACCCTAAACCCTAAACCCTACACCCTACACCCTAACCCCCGACAAATTTTGCAGGGAATGGCCCTGTATTGCCCTACACGTGCCAGGCGAGCGCTTCGGGGCAAGAGCGCGGTCAGGCTCCCAAACATTTTTTGTGGTTAGTCATCACACAATGTTGCAGTCCTTGCAACATAGAACTTTCACACTTTGGGGTTTTGGGCAGCCAGACATTCGGAATTCTCTCCCTTACATTTAAACATTGCGCCTGCGTAGGAGAATCCGGTAGTGGGACCAAAGCACTTGTCCCAGCAGCCCAGCTGATGCCAAACCGCAAAGTTGTGGCCAAGTAAGTTTTGAGAGGACCTCGCCTAGGTCGGCTTCAGCGCACCAAGTGTAGAGATAGATGCGGGGGGGTTACCCCAAATTAGAGGTAGGGGTTCCAACATTCAGGAAAAGGTTCATCCCATTTTCGTTTGTATACAATAAGCCGTCAGTCGTACATCCTAAACGGGGTTGAAGGCTCAAAACATGTAGTGGGTGACGTTTTCTTGAAAAACATCACCCTTTGGTATCACTGTTTCACATCGAGAGCCTTGGTCGGGATCCCTAAAACCCTAAAAGAGCGACAGTGGCCCTAGACCCAGCAGTGCTTGGTAAGGATACATACATACATAATACATACATACAAACAGACATACATACATACTTAGGAAGGGTGAATTATCTGAAGGACTCGTGGAGTACCATCTCTGCACCATGTAGACTCTGCCAGAACTGCATAGAACAAAGCTCGACATCACTGCAACAGCTTTGCTCCGTCTGGCCTTTTGCAACTTAGAGAGAAAATGCTCCTTTCGATCAACCCAGCTGCTCAAATCCTTGCCCCACTGCGCAGCTAGTGAAAGCACGGAAGCCATGGCTTACGGTTTGCGTGAAATGTACTGCACAGGAAGTCTTGCCTTGAGGCTCCTGAGGTAAATCGTTCATGTTGATTTGCATACATATGCACGTGATATGGTGGAAGTAACCATCATGTGCGTACTTGCGGTCCGCGCTTTGTGTGTGGGCACATAAGTGTCTTGAGGCCGGGTCTGCGACAATGGACGGGCTTATAGGACTCATAATACTGAACCCCTCGAAACACTCGAAACCCCAGGAACTTGTCGAATCCCATGATTTTTTTTCTCGGACTTTTGCGCCTGCGGATCCGTTTGGTCGACTACCCGGGCTTTAGCTACGCCCGCAGTGGCAGCCGGCTCGGACGGTCGAGCGGTGGGGCAGGCTCGGCGGCCGTGGGGGAAGTGGACGGCCACGTACGACCCAGGGCCGTGGTCACCACGGCCTGTTGAACCGCGACCGAAATGATGCGCCACCAACGTCTTGCGGGATCTGTTGTCGGAGCAACGATACAACAATTTTAGCTCGCTTACATAAAACAAAACCCTCTGGGTCTTCTGATGCGCATTTGAGATGTGTATCCGGGTGTGGTTTTAGCGTGTGTCCATGTGTGTCCGCATCCCGATTTTGGCGTGTCCCGAATTTGTCCGGGATGTGTCCGGTGTGTTCCCCTCTTCTGGCCCATGTGTCCGCTCGTGTGTCCGGGATGTGTCCCGATGTGTCCGGATGTGTAACGTTCAACCGTTTCCCCAGCTCGCGTCAGCAGAGGTGCTCGGGATTGCTTCGGAACCAAGTCAAAATGGTCCAGTTTTGAAGGGCCGCGCGCGTCGCTATGGCAAAGAGTAATAAAAAGAGTAAAAGGGTCACAAGCCAGACGCAAACTCCTCGAGACAACAAAAACGTTAAAAAACCTTCGTTCCGACCCTAAAACTTGCAAAGTCCAATATTTGACAATCACAAGCATGGATCTGTTTTTAAAACCAAAGTTGTATACGTTACTTCTAAGTTGGGTACAAAACACTTGTAATTAATTAACTTACATCTTTGAAACATACTAAACCAGGAACTTAACAACTTAAAAAACATGGGAAGGAAGATACTGAATTGGCTGTGGGTCTAAATGGGGGTATGTCGCGGTGTCCCGCCCCCCGCCTGTGTTACATGCGTATGTCGCGCCCACTTATTTCATACGTATGTCGCGGGGTGTGTCGCGGCTGTTTCGCACGCTGCTCTTGAAGAGGGTAATATGAAATCCGTACTTCAACAGCAACATAGCCGAACTATAGCCGACTTCTCAACCCTTTAAACCCTCAACCCTAAGCCCGAAATATCGGCCTGCCTGACCTGCACCACAGGTGCCCCCAATTGGCGCGGCTTCTCGCGACACATGAGGCGATCGGAAAACAGGTACAGTAAGTATTGGCCAGGGCCACTTGATGACTTGTCGCGGGTATGTCGCGGTATGTCGCAGGGCATGTCGCGGAGCGGGTACCCATAACCGTTGCATTCAGGGCTTCACCTGCACAAATCCAAAGAAGAGCTCGCAAATGCTTGCCTGCGTAGCAACATGGCATACTCATATAAGAAGGGGCTTGTCCCACAGGCTTGTCGCGGAGGCTTGTCGCGCAGGTTTGTCGCGGACGCTGCTTGTCGCCAGGAGAACGGCTTTGTTACAAGCCCTATGTCGCGGAAAGACGCCCGGAAGCCAGTTACATACCTAGACTTTTGACTCGCACCCAATTGATTTATAGAGGATATGAATCAGCTGATAACTGAGGGGCCTCACAAGCCATTTTTTTTTTTTTTTGCTCCTGCCCACTTTGGGTCCGGTCAGTGAAGGGGTCCTACGGAGCCTACGAGGCCCTACGACTACGACAGGCGTCGCAGCGGCAGGCGGCAGGCGGCTCGGCCCCTCGGCCTCTGCGAGGTCGAGAACGCGGTCGAGCGGCGGACCCGCAATGCTGGTGGCTTCCGGCGGTTGGGGCCATGGCTGCCCAAGGGCAGTGCTTGCGACTGCCTGCTGCACTGCGACAGACAGCATGCCCCACCAGCGACGCGTCCAGCCGGAAGACGCGGCGGCGCGCAGGGCTGGCGGCGCTCTGTAGGACCGCAGTCGGACCAGGTCTCGCACCAGTTGCTGCGCGTCGCTGTTGAAGCGCCCTCCGACCTCGCTGCCAAGCACCAGGAGCTTCTGCGGCCCTTGGCGCCGGAGCTCCGGGTAGGTGGCCGCCTTGCGTCGCTCCGCTGCCCGCAGGGCGGCGCCGTCGACGTCGGCCGTGCATGGCTGTGGTTGCGCCGTGCGTGTAAGTGGCGATACCAGCGTCGCATCGCAGCATAGCGCGGATCCGTTAGGCATCGCGCCGTAGATGACCACGTCTAGGCGGCGTCTGTCCTCCGCGCGCACTCCAGGCGCCGTGGTGTGCACGAGCCATTGTTGTGGCACCACCTGCCCTTCGGCACCGACGGCTTCGCGCGCAACGCGGACCCACGCTCGCTCGACGACCTTGGCGCGTCGGGCGAGCAGGCCGGTTCGCGGGCAAGCGAGCGCGTGGTCGCCGAGGCGGTCGATTTGCGCCCCACAGCCGGGTGCCGGGCCGCACCTGCCGTGGCAGAGGGGGAGTGGCATGCGCAGGCGGCGGCGGAGCGCGAGTTGCATGGCCTGGGGCGCAAGCGTCGTGGCTGGCTCGGCTGGTATGGCAGTGAGCCAGGACCCCGCATGAGGCCCCGATTGGGACCGCACCAAGCGCCCGGGCATCCGGCAGCATAGCCGGCAGCATCATACTGTCGCGGAAATGTTGGTTGCGAGTGCGCGACGCATGAAACTGCCAGCCGGGTGGCCAGTCTCCCGGGCCGGTGTGTTCCGGTGGGGCCGGGCGGGCTCCTTGGAGGATCTCTCGCCAGCCTGGGCAGGCTTCCCAGCCTTCGGCTCGTAATAGCTCACGGGCCTCGGCAGCAGCGCGAAGGCTGGGGGCATTGTCACCGCCATGCTCCAGTGCATCCCGGAAACTCAGGCAGCCGGGCGTGGATCACCGGCAAAGCATCTGCAATGCCGGCCCAGTATGCTGCGGGGCTCGTGCGCTCCGCCGATTGCAGTCCCAAACCGCCGAAGTGGGCCGGCAACATCGCCAAGTCTCGCGCATGCGGAGCTTCTTAGCTCATCCGCGCCCCCAAGGCATTGCTTGAGGGTATGCCAGACGGCTCGATCATGGGCGCGGGCGTAGGCGAGGATCTCCTGCGGCGGCACCGTGCGAAGGGCGTGGTTGGCGCGAGGGGAGGCACAAAGCAGCAGGAGCAGCCATGAGCATTGCAGGTCCGGCAGCCTTGGCAGCTGGCGGAGTAGCTGCTCCTCGTCCTCGAAGCGGCGGGTTGCCCAGGCTTGGATGAAATATGATGAAATCCGGGTGCCCGACTGGGGTGCCCAGAACGACGATGCCGCGCTGATCAGAGCGTAGGTCACCTCGCCAAACTTCGTCACCGAGCTCCGCGATGCCTGGTGGCGGGGGCCCCTCGCGAGCGCCCATCACTCGTGTTTTGCCTAAATTGGACCCGATGCCACAGTGGTCGGCTACGGCCTCAACAGTGGTGTCCAGCGACGTCCTGGCGCGCTGCGTCGTGGTGATGTAGAGGTCGTCTAAAAACGCGAGCAGGCTCTCGTCGGGGCGAAGGGTAGTCGCCGCTCGGTGCAAGGCATCGTGCTGCCCCAGGGCGAACAAGGCGGGGGCCAGTGGGTCACCTTGCTCGCAGCCCTCGCCTTGCTGGATTTGGCGGCATCGCCCCTGGTCGTCCCACCAGCTGTAGGTGGAGGGCCGGCCATAGAACAGATGCACAAACGGCAGCAGCTCAGGCGCGACTTCGTGCAGTTTGGTGAGGAAGGCTGCCCTGGACATGCAGTCGTACGCACTGCGTCCGTCAAGCGACACCAGTACCGTGTCCGGGCGCAGCGCTAACGCCTAATTTATTAATCGCTACAACCCTACGAACCCTGTTTGGTTTTTTTTCCCGCACCTTTTTGCCCCCAAGGGGATCTCTGCGCCATCACCGGCGTCCCGCGTGCTGACCGGCAGCTCCAGAAGGGACTGCGCGGTTTCCGTCGCACCTTTTTGCTGCTGGTCAAGGCGGTCCCAGCGCAAAGGCAAGCTTCGAAAGCCATGACGGGAGGCGGGTGGCAATGGGGGGAAGGGGCGGAGTCGACGAGGACGTCGACCGCGACCTGGGCATCCCCCCGGCGATAATCTGTGTGTGTCTGTCGTCCTGGCGGACGGGGTGGAAATGGAAATCACGCGGTGAGAACCTGCTGCTCTGCAGGCCCGGGCGGCCGCTCGCGGGCCAGCACGTGCGCGCAGGACGCCTGAGCGCGGACACGGCCGGTGATCGCCAAAAGCGTCCTGTCTTGCTTGGCATCGGCATCTGGCATCCGTGAGGGGCAGCGGGAGGCGGAGCCTGCGCCAAGAAGGGCGCGGATGACAGAGCTAACAGAACCCCGGAGAGCCCCCAAGGGTGGCCAACCTGCCGCTCGGTAGACCCGCATCCTGCCCGCATCTTACCAACTGGTTGGCGGCGACTCACGCCCCATGCTCGACCTCGCCGGCAACGACCTCAAGGAGGTGGCCTGCCCGCTTCGACGTCGTGACCACATACAGGTCGTCCAGAAACCATTCGCCAGGCCGTCGCAGCCACAAGGAGTGCTGGCCAAGCGCAGTTCGTTCCTTGCAGGCTGCCGCTTGCCACGGGAGGTGCTAATCACGAATTCGACGGATGAGGACTGTAGACCGGACTCTTTCCTGCGTGAGCTTATGGAATTTTTTCTTTATGGAATCCGGCAGCTTACATGTGCTACCATGATGTTGTGTATGTGGATATGTGCGGAAGCTACCGGTTAAGCTGCCGTACTCGCAGCGCGGTGCTTTTGAAGAGATCAGTTCAGCCCGAGCGCTTTCCCCACAGCCACGTCAAGGTCCGAAAAAATGTGCGGGGCTGGTCACTCCAGCGCCCCCCGACCTCACACTCCGGGTTACGCGGACCTTTTCTGACACTCGGCGTAGCCCCGTCACAGGTGGCTGCGCGGGGTGCGGTTCGCCGTCGCGTGTTAAAAGCGACACCATCGTGGCGTCGCCCCCAGCTTGAGGCGCCGTAGACCACCAGGCCAAGCGGCACTGGTCCCCTGCTCGCACTCCCGTTGTTCGCGCCAGCAGCTGCTGCGGGACAACCTGGCTTTCCGAGCCAACGGCCTCTCGACCAACGCGAACAGCACGCGAACCCACGCACGCCGCTCGCAAATTTTCGCCCGGCGAGCCAACAAACCTTTGCGTGGGCACGCCAAGGCGTGGCCGCCGAACGTGTCGGTTCGGCAGCCACGGCCGTGTGCTCCTGCGCCGCCGCAAAGGTTTGGCGCGAGGGTCAGGGGCAAGTGGAGTCGTCGCCGCAGGGCAATTTGCATGTCCGACGACGGCGGGAGCGTGAGTCCCGGCCCAAGAAGGAATCGCAGAGAGCCAGGCGGCTGCTTGCGGTTTGGCCTGGGAGCGTAGGCGAGCCTGGCGGCTGGGCGTCAGGGAGGGCAGCAGCACGCTGTCGCGGTAGTAAAGGTTGCGAGTCTGCGACGAGCCGCTGCCAGCCAACAGGCCAGTCACCAAGCCCCGCTTCGTGCTCAGCTGCGATGAGGCCCAAATCCCCATGCTGGGTGGCAGGAACGCGATGTCGCACGCGCGAGCCCAGTCGGCGTCCTCACCAAGCCCCCGCCGCCAAAGAGGCACGTATGAGGATCGCCCAAACTGCCATGTCGTGGCCTGCGCATACGGCCGTATCTGTTTGGGGGACATTGTGGAGCAAGTGCGCAGTAAACAAACAAAACAAAAAAACAAAAACCACACACATCGCAGGTCAGCAGCAAGTCCTCCTGTCGGAACCACATTAACTTTGCCCAACTCCAATGTAAAACCCGGCTGTCATTCATTTCGTGGTGTCAACAACTCAACAGTGCTGCAGCGCCACTACGAATGCATTATTAAAGTGCTCCGGGGACGTCTCGCCAGGTGTTTCCTGATGTTTCCCGTCACGTACCCTGTTCTTTGGGATCCAGTTGCGGACAACCCGTTTTTTTCTGGTCGACCCGGCGTTTGTGTTGCCGGGATCGGCAAACAACTCCAAAAGTGCCGCCACAGGTTTCGTAACGACGACAGCGGGCTTGTGCGTCTCGCCATGCGTGTCTTGTAATGGGCACATCTGCATGTGCATTTCTCCCGAAATTTTGTTCTGGAACGCGCGAACATCCATTCGCCATGAAGCATGTGCGATTTGCCCGGAACCACATCATGCATGAGATGCGGCACGCCAGCATACATTTCACGGCTGAAGTTGCCACTGCGGCCGATCGCCGCGTTCGCCGCCACACCGCACAAAACGATTACGCACAACTTCATCGCTCAGACAACGGCGTGGCAATCAACATGATGGAAACGTCGAAATTCGTTCAGACAACGGTCCACGCATAAAAAATGCACAGCACGTTCATGCACGATCCGTTCTGGGAAGCGGCAGCCTGCAACGAGCGAAATGGGAAGCGGCAGCCTACAACGAGCGGAATGTGCTTGGCCAGCACGACTCCCTTGTTGCTGCGAGCATGTCGCTGCGGCCTGGCGAACGGCTCGCCGCGTTTTTGGACGACCTGTATATGTGGTCACGACGTTCGAGCGGGCAGGAGGTCGCTACCGGTGAGGACGGGCAACTGGTGAGCGTCGCTGCCAACTTTGGCAAGACGCTGGTCTACCGTGCGGCAGGTGGGCCAGCTCCCAGAAATCTTGGCGCAAACGTTTGGCGTAGCGACCTGCGGCCGGAACAGTGCGGGTTTGTTGCGCTGGGCGTGCCTGATCGGCCATCCCGCGTTCGTCGCAGCTCAAGCCGAGTCACCATTTGTCCCAATCGGTCATATGCGTGACATGCCAGGCCAGGACACGTTGAATTACCTCGCTAAGCCATCCGGCGCAGTTGGTAACGGGAGTCATGGAATTTGAGACATTTTGCCACATTTCTCTCAGGTGTGCCGTTGTTTTCGGGAATCTAGGTCAAAGTTCGCAGTCGACCTTGATAAAACTTGATGTAACATTTGCACACCACGTTTATACATGCATCAAACACATGCCGCAAGTTCGATGCAACATGTCACGTAAGGGAATGCAAATCACATGGCCCGTCATGGGCGGTGCTGGGGCCAACTTGATGTCTAGGTGATTTCTTGCAAAATTTATACACATCAGCTGTGCGCGGACATGAAGCATCGATCAATGGTCGGCGAGTTCGCGTAGCTGGCGAAGACTGGCGTCGAACCATGAATCGGAGTGAGGGAGGGGATTATAACATCGCGTTAATTGCCAGAAGAATTGCCTGCAAAAATCTGCAAAATCCAACTGAAGCGCAGTGTTGGCGGGAGTGAGGCGCGCGTGGGCCTCTGCCATTTGTGACGACTTCATTTCGCAGGAACTGATTTCTTCGGCTTTGCATGAATTGCTGCAAAATAAATTGCTTTGGGTCGGATGGGTTTGCCGTGGCGATTCTGCAGAATATACGTGCGCTGTCTTATGCTGTCTTGCTACATAATCGTGTTTGGCGACATGATGGCACACCTTGGTCACCTCGGGACACTGCGGATCGAATCTTCGCACAAGCGGCATTGGCGATCATGGGCCGCCGAACATTTGGAGAGGGAGGAGAGTTGGGGAGGGCGGGCTTAGTATAGGATGATGACGATGTGGGCGCGCCATT